AGTGCCTTTTACATCTTTTTTAAATCTCGAGATTCTACAATGAGTCAAATCAACTTGGTTTTCTTGAGATAATTCGACGTTTCTGATTTTTCTTCGAAGTAGTTGAGTATTTCACTAGTGTAGCGAAGGTGATGTGGGGCAAGTGTGGATCCGTTGTGGTCCGGGGTCGGTCCGAAGGCGCCAATGGAGGAGCTTGAATTCTGGAACGAATCTTGCCCAGAGCTTTCCTTTCCTTGCTTCTCTCGACTAAATGGTGCTAGAACTCTTCAATAGTTCGGAAACAAACCCCCTAAATCGCCAAGCGCTCTCAAGTCGATGTAGTTGTAGGCAAAACACACTAGAATGCACTGTGATTCCGATGGAAGCGAAGTGCGTGGCGCATCGCGGAAAGATTGACAAACACCAAATGCTATCCCTTTCCTTCCTGTCCTCCAATACTCACATCAGTGATAAAAATGGTGTTCCTTAGAGTGCCGGTTACTGTTTGGGGCGCTCATGTCGTTGGGAGGGAAAGGAGAGGGACATTAAAGTAGGTACAGTACTTGTGACTAAGCCATTGGGAAGGGTTCCGGAGGAGGATACGAGCAATCTATATTCTGCCTGTCTCTCCTCTCCTTCTTTTGGCTTAGTCCCGGTGCCACCTACTATAGGCGCTGTTTTAAATGTCCTCCCCCCTCCGAGGTTATGAGCGAACTATTTGGGATACATCATACACTCGAATCGGTTCTAAAATTGTAAAGGGCCTAGGTGGAGGTGCTCTGCGCCTCCAGCTACTACGCCGTTCCCCCTCAGTTACCATATTAATTGCCGTGATGTTCGCCGCTGTGCAACTTGTAAAAAACCGATACCAAATACATTTCAGATATTAGATCCATTGGGTCAGCGTTTTGCTCAGACTTGTCAACAACCGCCGAGTTCGGATGTTGACAGCCAGCTTGTAGATCTCATACAGTGTATGGATGGTGTAGCTAGAGCCAGTCAGCCACATTCCGCAGCTATACTCTTTAGTACGTTCCATTCCTTGTGCATTGTGGATTTCGAAGAAAACATTTTTTTTCAGAATTCCTCAGTCCGGTTCTTGAAAGCTGTGTTCCGTTGATGAAATCGCGTTCATACTCTCAGCCGGTAATCGCCGCGATTCTGGTTCTTATTCAAAACGTAACCTACCAAGGTTTCGATCTACGTGGATGATAAGGTTAGTTGTCCATGCTAGACTGAGGTTCTGTATTGCTGAAAATTTGATCGCATGCTTTTTTTCGTGGTCTCCCTTTGGGCTCTGAAAATATAATACACAAGACAGTCAGGGGAATGAAACTTTCATCTGAGTGGGAAAGGTAAAATAGGTGCCATTCTCCCAGTTCGAAATGCGCAAAAAGGGTGTTGGGGCCCTGTCACTGCTGCGAATGACCGCAGTTTCTGCGCAACGCAACGGCATACGTGACGTGGTGTCTGTGTCCTCTAGTCCGACATGCTCTCTCGTCTGTGCTCTCTCCTCGGCGCTCAGTGTCTCTTCGTCGTTCCGCAGTCAACCCCAAAAAGGACCCCTTAATAATAGTGTTTTTAGGCGATTACTTTCCTTTATATCTTCTTTTTGTTTTACGGGCCGCTTCTTGACGTAATTTTATTTTGGAGCGAGAGGATGACATCTGTTGGTAGTGTGACTTGATTTTGAGTGACGTTGATGATGCTGGATATTCCAGGAGGACTCTGCCACATTGTATCGTACCATCGTTATGATTGTGGATGTTTATCGATCGGAACAAGCGTCCAGATTTGTGGGTATGACGGAGAACGACGAGGATAAAGGGAGCGATTTGGTAAGGCGTGGATAAATGGATTTATGATATTGCCTATACGTTGGGATCAATTAACGTACTATCTTGATCATTCTGTCGAACGTGTGTCCAAGGACATTAATTAGAAGCGCTGGAGAACGATAAGCGTGGCGATCGGGGCGCCGGCAGGTGTGTTTTCGCTTGCTGCTTTCCTTTGGGTGCTATATTTAGTTTCTCTGCTTTAGGTTGCCTTAGCATCTCTGGAAATGTTGCTGAGTGTAATGAATGAGTCAGTGCTGAAGTTACCCGATTTGGCGATGAAATTCTTCCGGCTTGTTCTTTATCTGGTGGAGTTTTCTCGCGAAGCTCTAGCCGTCATGTCAGTGCCTTTGCTGGTGGCGCTCTGCCAGTGTCTGAGGGTAGGATTTCAGTTACTCTCACAAATAGCAACTTTTCAGAAAACGCCTATGAACTGTCGAAATTCCGATTCCAGTTCTCGCGAACAACACTCTTTCCTCACGTACTTCTTATCTTGTCTGTTTCCTCATTTTTTCCTAACCACACTGCCGGAGATCCTACCACGTTCACAACATACGCGAACTCTTCTTCGCAAAACTTCTTTTCTGATTTTTCAAGAACTTTCGAAGTCTCTTTTCCATAAAGGACATGAGCGCTGTTGTTCTCCGGTCTGATAGAGCTGGGTCGGAAACCGGTCTTGATCCGGGCTAGCGCATCACAGCAGCCGCGATTACAAAATGCGTCCCCGTCACCTAGCCAGAACAAGCAAAAAACCTATCAATAAAGAAAAAAGCAAAAAACAATTTCTCGCCTTGTGGGCTTGCTCCTTACTGCTAACTTTTCCAGGAAGGGATGACATCACAATATGGCTCAGAGATTGCGTGCACCTCGATGGAGGCGCTCACTGAAATTAGTAGCTGACCTATCTTGATGAATCGTCCTGTTCCTACCTGACTTGGCTCAACAATTCACTGAAACTGCTCTGCTCAGTCAGTTATTTACACATTTGCAATTTTGGTGTGTAGCCCATTAAATAGAATTCGACTATCTGCACGTGAGCTTTTGAATCCGCTCGTATTGCACGTGCTTCGACGAGCATCTCTGCAGAGAATAGTTGTGAGAACACGATCTTCAACGAAGCGACATCCTGTCTCTACAGCCTAATATGTTTTGATAAGGTTAAGTCACATTTTAGTGTATGGTTGCTGCGATACAGCTGGGTGGTCCGCAGCGGCGTTATGTTATAATTTCTGCTTTCCATTCTCATTAGAGACGTGGATGATACAAACGGTTTAGATTATTTAGCGCCATGTGCAATATTTTGTGAATGATATTTGTTTCTAGCCTGCGTTCGATCGATTTGTGAATGAAATGTTGACAAGTAAAAGCAATGAGTCAGCATCAAACAAGCTTCGAGAAGAGTTCGCTTCATTGTTGCCAGAGGATCCAAAACCTGGACGAAGAGAGAGGTGATTTTGATGAATTCCACTCTGATGATTCAATACTGAACACGCTAACTACCGTTGCTGTGCGCGTATCACCCACCTTTTTTCACAACTTCTCATCAATACTCATGACTTCACCAAAATGCTGTTACTGGTCATGAGTATATTTTTTCTGATCTGATGGTATATATGGACACTCCAAGAGCATGCTTGTTGAGGCGCAAACAAAGCGAGTCTTCTCCGTGTAGGGTGCGAGACGTATGTGTCCCGCGCTGTCGTCTGTGTGTTAGCCAGTTGACGACAGCGCGACGGAAACCTCTCACGCTCCACGCGGATGAGGCTCGTTTTGCCCATTCATTTGGCATTTTCAAAACTATCATTGTCTGTCCCGAATAACGGTCCATTCATAACCATTGAAAGAATATTTAAAGGCGTAAGACGATTTTGTAAAAAATATATAAAAAACTCCCCGAGTAGTTGATCGAAGTCTCCAGCTCCCAAATCTATTGTATTATTAGTTTTCCTATGCTTATCCGGCTCACAATGGAATTCATTTCTTAGAACGTTTTTTACGCCGACTCGTACTTGTTGGTCAGCTGATGTCTTAATGAACGGTTTTTTATTTGAATTATCGCGCTGAGAGAACTGCAAGAATTGTGATTGGATTAGGTTAAGATTAGGATAAAAGGAAACACATTGAGAACATTCAAGAACAAAGTCTCAATTAGTGCTGCAATCCCAAATATGATTAAAAACTACCCCCTTATGTTGCGCAGTGGAACAAGATGTCGGTGGTGAATCAATGGGGTTTCCGTTCATCTCAATCTTAACCTATTCCGTTCTCAATTTTTTTTTGCATTTCTCTCACTCCGATAGCCTCCGATCTCACTTTGCTTTTTTTTCGTACTTGATCGAGTCCGAGAACGGATCCCTCTTTCAGA